AGTAATGAACAAAAATGAACAAACCACACACACACACACACACACACATACACACACTCACACATACACGCACACACATACACAATGGGGGGCAGAGGGAGAAAAAATAGAGAAACAAAAGCAGATGAACAGCACCTATGGAACATCAGCAGTCAAGGTTATCATTTGATTTGCTCTCTACATGCCTGAGTTCACATTCACATGCACCCATTCATATGTATTTTCACAGAAAGAAAAAAGAAGAGGGAGAGGGGGGGGAGGAGAGAGGACAGGGGAAGAGAGAAAAGAAAGAACAAAAAAGGAAATAAAAGGAAGAGCAGGAACTGGAGAGATTGCTCAGCAGTTAAGAGTTCATATTGCTTTTTCCAGCAGTATGAAACAGCACACAACTCCCTGAAACTAAGATGCCAAGGGATGCAACACCCTATTCTTGCTTCCTTCACAGGCTACTACACTCATGTACACTTACCCAATCTCTCTCTCTCAACACACACACACACACACACACACACACACACACACACACACACACACATACACATTCACAATGAAAGGTAAAAATAAGCCATAAAGTAGCAAATTATTAAACCCACAAAAAAAGTTTTAGAAGACAAAACTGGGACAGTGAAAGAGGGTTGGAAGTACTCAGTGGCAACACGTTAGAATTTGAAATAGCATGATGGTAGAGTCCTCATGGAGAAGGTGACATATGGGCAGACATGAGAAGATCAGGAGTGGGCCCAAGTATCTAGAAGAGTTTCCTGTGCAGGAGCCATAGTGTCAAGTCTGACAACGGAGCATCCCTAATATGCTTTAGGGAAACCAGGATGACAACAGGGTCGGAGAACACATAGAAAAGAGAGAACAGACGAGGTGTGTTTAAAGAGTTAAGTGGGTGCAGTGTAGGTCAGTAGAAACCGGTTGACTTTTTCAGCTTATTCTAGCAGAAGAAAACAGATTCACTGAAGACAATAGGAATGCATTGTTTTTCAAGTCAGTGAAGCATCTTCTCTGCTTTTGAGTGGTGAGTGAGCAGAGAAGTCAAGGGTGTAAGCTGTCTGATAACCGCAGCTGTTCCTCTGAGAGATCCTGGTGAATCACTCAGCATAGCATCAGGGAAGCCAGGGAAAGTGGTCAGATCCAGGCAGACTCCAGAGATATAGGCAGCAGGATTTGTTCACATCACCAAAGATTTGAGGTAAGGATGCTGCAACTCTCAAAAAGTGTTGTGATTAGTTTTCTTTTGTTGTGGAAAAACACAGTAACAGAAGGCAACCTGGGGAGGAAAGGGTTTTGTTTGCTTGTTTGTTTGTTTACAGGTCACAGTTTATCATTGAAGGAAGCCAAGGCAGAAACTCAAGCAGGGCAGGAACGGGGAGGCAGGAATGGTAGAAAAAGCAGAGACCACAGTGGAATGTCACTTATTGACTTGCTTTCCATGGATTTCTATACCTGTTTTTTCTTTTTGTTATCCAGGACCACTTTCCTAGATGTAAAACAACCAAAGTGTACTGATCCCTTCCACATCAATCATTTACCAAGAAAATACCCTACTGACTTACTTACAAGACAATCAGATTGGGGCATTTTCTCAATTGAAGTTCCCTCTTCCCAAATGACCCTAGCTTGTACTAAGTTGATAGGAAACTGGTGAGTATTACAGGTGACAGGGAAAATTCTGGAGGGACCCCAGAAGCAGAGGCCAGCAACAGATGTGTAAGTCAGGGGTAGATGCACAAAGGTTGAAGGGTCTTCTGTGGTGTGTCCATTAGGAAGCTGAACTATCAGTCTACAGTTCAAGGGGAAACACAGCAATAAGACATAAGCTTGAACTTTGCTGATATGTAGTGTCACCCATGAGTTTTGATCTATTACATGGCAATATGGTTATTAAAAGAAAGCACAAAATTATATTTCTTCTGTAAACCTTGCCAAATTACAAATAAACTAGCAAGCTGCATTTTCCTGAACTGTCTTAAATCCTTTTGTATTCATAATACTTTCACCCAGACTAACCTTCTGCTTGGCCCTGTCAAAGACAAGCTGCTGCATATGGAGAGCTCCCCTGATCTTTCCCTGATCCCTATGCTGCTGATAGGCCAGTGAGTACCAGGAGGCTGCTATTCTCTACCTCCCTAGACATAACCTTATAGACACGTGTGGCTGTGTCTTGCTTTTGGGACTCAATGTCAGGTCCTCATCCCTGCACAGCTAGAGACAGAGCCATCTCCCTGGCCCCAGAAAAAAAAAATTGAATTGGGAGTATGATTTTCTTTTTTGGGTTACTGTATCTTTCTTTTTATCATTTTTGATTTTTCTTCCCCTTCCATATGTAAGGTTTTCTTTTAATTCTCCACATCATCTCCTTAACCTCTTATGCACTCTGATCTTACAAAGAGACAAGACATTTCACAGTATATCTGCCATGCCCTTCAAGTCAGACACCCACTGTTAGCTTGTCTGGGCTCTTGGAAAGTCAAGAAAGTTGATATAATTATAATGAAACAATGCACTGAGAAACCACATCTGTCCAGAATTTTTACAACAGTGTGTGTGTGTGTGTGTGTGTGTGTGTGTGTGTGTGTGTGTGTGTGTGTTGGGGAAGGGGCAGTTTTGCCTGATGTGTCTGGGTTCACTTTTTGCAGGTGAGTGCGCATGTGGAGGTCAGAGGTTGGCATAGGCTATCTGCCATCATTGACTTCTACCTTGTATCCAGAGGCAGAGCTTGCCACTCAACACCACCATGAATGGACTTTATTTTCTAGCTAGTCAGCTTGCCCTGGGGATCCCCTGTTTGTACCTCCTGGGTGTAAAGATCACAGGTGGGCTGTCTTGTCTGGACTGTCACATGGGTGCCAGGGACTCGAACTCTGATCTGATACTTCTTTTGCCAGTACTTTACTCACTGAACTGCCTCCTCAGCTCCCCATCATGACAATTTTTACTAATAGCCTCATGCCTGAGACTACCAGTATCCACACATGCTCTTTATTCCCTTTTTTAGCTCTAGGACATTCTCTTTATGTGTTCAGTTCTAAAACAATCCGTTTGTGCCAAGAAGAGGGAAGAAAGGAAGCAAAACAACAGGTAAAATGAACTGATGAAAGAATTGCAAATCTGCCGGGCAGTGGTGGCGCACGCCTCTAATCCCAGCACTCGGGAGGCAGAGGCAGGCGGATCTTTGTGAGTTCGAGGCCAGCCTGGGCTACCAAGTGAGTTCCAGGAAAGGCGCAAAGCTACACAGAGAAACCCTGTCTCGAAAAACAAAAAAAAAAAAAAAAAAAAATTGCAAATCTTCTGAAACAGCCTTCTTAAATGAGCTAATTGGGCTTAGAAATCTGATATCAAGTGTCTGTGTTGAGATGACCTTTTCTAATCTTTGTGCACTGGTCCCCAATGCACCTTGCTCTAAGGCAACTCTGCATGTTCTCACTCATTTTGTTCCTTATTCTCGGAATATTAGATTTTTCTATTTCCCAAATATGTTTTTTCCCTTCCAGAAATACATCATTGACTCTTTCAGGGACCACAGAAAAATGACTTTGTAGCCTTTAATGCAAGGTCTGTGGGAAGCTTATTAAAGATGTGCTGAAAGAGGCCAGTATTTCTGACAACTTGCCCCTAGCCCTCTTCCTCCATATCCAACTTGGACTTGAGAATATAGCACTGAAAATGTAATGTGTATACTGTAGGAAAAATACGGCCTTGTTTTTTTTTTATAATGATAGAAATCTATAGTTTATGTGTGTGTACCTACTTGTATGTTTTTTGTGTTGATCTTGTACAGATGCACTTGTGCGTACCTGTGCATGTGGAGGCCCGCAGACACCCTTGGGTGTTCTTCCTTAGGCAAACTCACCTTGCTATTGAAACAGGATATCTCACCAGTCTAAACTCACCAAACAGGCTAGACTAGACAGCCAGTGAGTACACGGGATTTGACTGCCTGTGCCTCCAAGGCAGTGGCATTACAAGCATCCACCGTCACATATATGGATACTGGCTTATTGAGCTCAGGTCCGCATGTTTGTAAGGCAAAGACTTTACTGATTAAGCGATTTATTTCTTCTATAACCTTGGAGAGTTTCCTAGAGAAAGTTAAGATCCTGTTAGTTCAAAGTAACAGAATCTCAACTCCAACCAATCTGAGTGAAATGAATATTTTCCTGGAGAACTCTTGATATATCTCACAAAATGCAACATACTTTACAGCAGTTCTCAGAAGGTATGGGAGTGAAAGCAGGTCCTGGGGACAAGAGAAACCAAATGAGCAAATGTCATCAGGACTCCCTCCATCTCTTGTTGTGCTGTGTACTGCAGGTCACCAGATCTTTATCCATGTATCTTTTACATTCTTTATATGCATGAAGTTATGATCATAACAGATGTTGGGATCTTGTGTTCCATAGTATAAACCACCAAAATCAGGTTATTTGCAATTTTTTTGGCATCATAACTAAAAGAGCCGGGTGGTGCATGCTTTTATTCCCCACACTCAGGAGGCAGAGCCAGGCAGATCTCTGTGTGTTGGAAGCCAGCCTGGGCTACAGAGCAAGCTCCAGGACAGGCAACAAAACTACACAGGGAAAGCATGTCTCAAAAACCAAAAATCAATCAATCAATCAATAAATAAAAGAAATCATAGAAAAGATATTGCTTATCTTTCTGTTGTTAAAGCAATAAATGCATTGTTGAGGCAGCAGAAAAGTCATGTGGTAAAGGTGCTTGCTGTCAAGGCTGACATCTTGAGTTCAATTCTAGAGACCCACATGGTGGAAGGAGAGAACTGACTCCCTCAAGTTGTCCTCTGACCTCTATACATCCTCCATGGCATGTGCCCCTTGCCACCACATTTACACACACTAAATAAGTAAATAAATAAACAAATGTAAAAAGAATTTTTAAAACTAAAACCTTTGTTGGCTGCCTGGAACTGGGCCTCTTTGAATCTGCATGGGGGCAGGTAAGATAGAGTGAGCAGGCATGAACTACGCAGCCACATGGAAGCCTTGGGAAGGTGAGCTCAGGGTAAGAGATGTTCAGAAGTTGGGTTGGAGAGTTGCCTCAGCAGTTCAAATACTTGCTGTTCTTGCAGAGGACATTGGTTCAGTTCCCAACATTCACATGGTGGCACACAACCATCTGTAACTTCACTTACATGGTATCCAATACCCTTTTCAGGCCTCGTTCAGCATCAGGAACACATGCATGTAGTACACATTCAAACATGTAGAAAAGCACTCCTACCATAACATGAGAAAAAATAAAAATAAACAAAAAGGAGATGCTCGGAAGCAAGGTAATGGCAGGATATAAAAGATGAGAGGAGTGCCGGCCAAGGGTGTTCAAAACAGTGCTGTCCCCACACTTTTTAAGAGGGGTGAGTGGGGGTGCGTGGGAGGTTGGGAGGTGATGTGTCTTACTCAGATTTTTTTGTAAGGACACTATATTGGTTTGTCTTAACTAGTAAATGTCTTCCGGTTGACTTTGGCACTTTCTGAAAAGGTAGAATTTTCTTGCATGTTAATTAGGGGAGGCATTAATCTTTAAACTATGTTCTGTGTCTGTAGGTTGAGGTAGCTTCCTGGCTATCCCCAGAAAGAAGCACAGACAGTCATCCCGAGGACTGTTACATTTTTTTCCCTTTCCTTTCCGCCATACTATCACATGTAAAGGAATAAGCCTTCCACACTGTGTGCCGCAATAAACAAAGCATTCTACAGAGTGCTTCACTTCTGTTTAACTCTCTGCAATAGTGCTGAAGCTCTAACTAAAGGCAAAATTCAGCTCTGAGATCCCCACTTCCCAGAAATGCAGGCGGATCCTTATGGCTATGGTATCATTTAATTCTGACAGTTACAAGATTTTAGCAGATCTGTTTCCCACTGCAGCTCTCAAAGTTTTTGCTTGCCTCTGTGTTTATCTTGTTTATTACGCATTATCTCCCATTAGGTGTTTGCCAAACTACTGTGAACATGGAGGACACTGTGCCCAATCCTGGACTACCTTCGACTGCAACTGTAGTGAAACTGGTTACACAGGCGCCACCTGTCATGACTGTGAGTACACACCGTACACCCACAGTGTGTGGGCACAGCTCAAGGAATGAAGTGTGGGGACCCCAACCATTCAACACAGTGCGGACACTGCTTATTGCTCTAGCATGAACTTTCCAATAGGATGTTATATCCAAATACTAAAGCAGGCCAGGAAAATGCAAGGACATAAGACATGTCTCTGTGGAGTTTATGTGATTAGGACAAACAGTGAATTTGGATATACGATAAAGTAGAAGAGAGAATGGTGATATAAGTACATAAGGAGCTGTGGAACAAATGGCGTTGTCTTGGTGGCTTAAGTTGAACTGTTGCAACATGTTACTAACATGTATCACTGGTGCAAATAACAAGTGGCAAGTACTAGGTCTTAGTTACTTTCCTGTTGCTATGATGAAAACACTCTGACCAAAGCAACTTGAGAGAGAAAGGGCTAATTTGGGTTTATAGCTCCAGAAGGATACAGTCCATTAGGAAGGAGGAAGACTTGGCAGCACCTGGGGAAAGCATGGTAGAAAGAATAGAAATCCTGAAAGGTCACTTTGTATCCACACTCAGGAAGCAGAGAGTGAACAGGAAATGGGGTAAAGCTATACAGCTTCAAGTACCACCCCCAGAGACCCATTTCCTCCAGTGAGGTTCTACCTCCTAAAGGTTCTGCAATCTTCCCAAACAGCCCCCAAAGTCAGGGAACAACTGTTCAAATGTGAACCTATGGGAGACACTTCACATTCAAACGACAATGTAGGTAGACCACAAGTCCCTCAGACATCAGCCTGCTTTTTTCCTCATTGTCCTCCTTATGGTAGAAGTCACCTCATCTGAATGTTGCCATGGCTAAGGAAGGAACCCCACGGTGAGGAAACAAAACTGTGTTGTGATTCAAAGGCTTCTATTGAAAAAGTGGTTGAGGGTTACTTCTCACATTCCATTGGCCACATACCCTTGTGTCACCCCCAACAGGAGGCAAAATGCATTCAGACCACAGGAAGTGACACTATAGAACCAGAGTATTGGTGATAAGTCTTGATGACTACCTGTCAATCCTGGGCATTTGGAAAGCTTCAGTCTGAAGGTCTGTGCTGATCTTGTCCCAGTTGTAGAAGGAAAACAGAAAAGAAAAGAAAAGAAAAGAAAAGAAAAGAAAAGAAAAGAAAAGAAAAGAAAAGAAAAGAAAAGAAAAGAAAAGAAAAGAAAAGGAGTAAAGGAGCAAGTTGGATCCCCAGGTGTAATGGTGTCCTGTGGAGAACCTCTGCAGAATCCCAGGGGCTGGCGGAGGACCCTGGTGAAAAAGAGTAATGAGGCAGGAGAAGGGGGCTGGATTCAGACATGAAAAGGGGCTATATCCATTTTCCTATAGTTGGTGCAATTTCGTCCTTGTTCAGGACAGAAAAGAATTTTACCATGTGTATCAACTACATTTTCATTATCAGTTCCGCTGTTGGCAGACACCTAGGATGGTGCTATGATTTTTGCTACTGTGAAAAGTACTACAAACAATACTGATGTACACATGTTTGTGGAAAACTGACCTGGGGTTCTTTGGGTAAATACCTATGTGTGGTGTAGCTGAGTTACCTGGTTGGTATAGTATTCAGTTTTCAAGGCATTTTGTCTCACTTGCAGGTCCTAGGTTGCATTAGATGCATCAAGTCATACATACAGGTGACATGAACGCAGCAGTGAAGCATTCTGGGAGAAAGGGAGTCTAATGACAGGAGGGGTGATGAGAGCCATTAGGTTTGGAACCGAAGAATCAAAGATGCATAGCATGGTCCACGAGCTGTGGTTTCTTTCTGTGATATTGTATGTGTGTGTGTACATGTATGTGTGTGCAAATGTGCTCGCTTGTACTGGTGTATGTGGAGGCCAGGGGCTGTCAATTTCTTCCTCCTTAGTTTTTTTTTTTTTTTTTTTTTTTTTTGGGATGGGGCCTCTCATACAACCTGGAGCTCACTGTTTTGGCTGCAATGGCTGGTTAGCAAGTCCCCAGGATCTGCTTGTCTACCACCTAGCTCTGGGATTGTAGTCACACAGCACTGTTGCTTAGCGTGGGCATGAATTCTCAGGACCAGATCAGGGTCTCATGCTTGCACACAGCAAGTGCTTCTGACTGAGCTTTCTTCCAACCCCAGGAGATTATTATTTGCATAATTACTCTTCAGAAATGGTGCAGGGTCAAAGGGCATGTGCGAAAGATTTGACATCATACTTCCGACTTTCCAAAAGTCTTAGCTTAATGTATACTTCACAGACCTTTTCTGTGGCTTTATTTTGCCCTCTCTGTCATATTACTTAACAGATCAAACTATTTATCATGTCTTCTGCCAAGCATTTGGGTATTGAAATGGAGATTATCATTTGCACTCTTGGGGAGTCTCAGACATTTTTTTTTCCTATAACTGGTGTGACAGTAGAACAAGTGTTCCATAAAGTTGTCCTTTATCACTCAGCGCATGCACCTTCAAGCACTTCTGGCTTCAGTAGTCATGTGTTTAATGATTGCTACATACTGAGCTGGCTTGCTAAGTGACAGGGCAGTTGCATGGCAGCCTCTGTCTGCCTCCTATTGAGTGGCCGTCCTTGATCTGTTTAACTTCTGTCTGGTGACATTCGCAGGGGCACATTCAGGGTCTCTCTGCCATGTATCGGACTCATCTAATCTCTTTACACTGTAGATTGCTGACATCCTAACGAAGCCTTTCAGGTCATTTTTCAGCTCTACAAAAGGATGTCAGCATTCTTCTCTCAAGTCTGATGGAATGCTGCTCGCTTTGGGCTGTCGATAGGCAGATATCGACTGGGAGCACATCCAGCTGTCTGGCTCTCAGACATAATGGTCATCACAGAGCAGGGAGGCTTTGCTAGTTCCTCTATAGGTAAACAGTCCTCTTAGTCACATTTGGATGATTGTACATGGTGAGAAAATTCTGACAATAAAAAGATCTACTTCAAAGTATCTTTTATATCTTTATCTCAGGTTTAACTTATATATTGACTTTATTATATGAGTTCTTATGAAGACTGGCATTAATTACTCTCAATGCTAATAGCAGATGGTTCACAACTTAAAGAGGACAAGAAAAAAAGAAGAAGAGAATGAAGGAGCAAAATGAGCAGAAGGGGGAACGTGGGCACATGTAGAAAACTTAACACTGTTGATGTCCAGAGTCTACCCCAATCATATTTTGAGACAGAGACTCTCACTGAACCTCAGGTTCACTAATTTCTCCTAGACTAGGAAGCCAGTAAGCTCCTGGGATCCTGCTGTCTTCTTCCTCCCCAGCCCTGGTGTTAGCTGCCCACACCCCACATCTATTTTTTATAGAGTGCTGGAGATTGAATTCAGGTCCTCATGTCTGTAGAGCAAGCTCTTTTGTAATGAAACAACCCATCTCCCTCCAGAACTGATCTATTCCCCAACATAAAGTAGATATCTGATCTTTGACAGGTGCTGAAAAACATGAGTGAGCTTGTGATACTGCACACACTATGATGCTCTTTTACTACTCTGGGAATGCTGTTCCTGGGAAAGGGAGGGCATTTCAGAACAATGGAGACTGCAAAAGAGACTTGAAAGATGAAAAGGAGCCGAATAAAAAGAGGGAGTCAGCAGGATGACTTTACATACTGGTAAAGGCTCTTGCTTGGTCAAGCATGATGACTGAATTTGACCCCCAGGACCCACATGGGGAAAGGAGATAACTGATTTCTGTAAATTGTTTTCTGACCTCTGACTCTCTTAATTACACACACACACACACACACACACACACATGCAAGATAAGTAAATAAATAAATACATGTAATAAAATTATTTTCAAAGAACAAACTTCTGGCAGAAGAACTGCTGCAAGCCTCAGGAAAATGTAAAGGAATTCAGCTACTATCATAAAAGCTACTACTTGGAAAAGTCAAGGACTTATCCAAAGGTCAAGCTATGGCTTAAGAAGTCTTGGTGATATTTTAGCTTTTGTGTGTGTGTGTGTATATAGTTTCTACAATGATTTTCTTGTAATACTATGTGTGCTTCCAAGAATTTCTAACAGTGTATTTATCTAAAATATCTCTTAAGTATCCAAGGCCAAACAAAACAACACCTGTCTCCTAGTCAAGAGAATAGCTTTATTTCTTGAGCAATTTAGGGTGAGACAGCCTTACTAAGAGACTCCTAATTTCTTACCTAACCACTTCTAGGAATATAGATTGAGCACATAAAGCACTCATTTGGGTTGTAAAAGAAAGCCTGAGGCCACTGCCTGAGGAAAATTCTTATCTACCTTTATGACCCCTTAAGAATTCAAGCCTGGTGACCTTGCTCTGCCTGAGGATGCTATGGCTTGGGTTTATAACTGAGTACCTCAGAGACAGGGGTGTAAGGAGAATGAAGAGAGGATAGTGAAGACTTTGACTGGAGAGGATTTTTGACTATAGAACTGGAGGTCAGGATGGAAGATGAGGAAGAGCCAAATGGGAAAGTACTACATGGGTAAGGATGAGATGAGAGGGACCTAGATGAGACAGAACTAAGATGAGAGAATTAAGATAGAACTTAGAGGGGACAGCAGATGAAGGGAGACACAAATCAGGCAAGAAAGGAACTAGGCTTGAGTACAGCACTGTAGCTGTGTAGATAGGATTTTATCCCAGAGGAATAAAGTAGATGGTCAAAGAGCAGGGTGTACTTAGATTCATTTCCTGGCAAAAATAGTTCTTGCCTTTCATTTGTCTTCTGAGCCCCTAGGGAGTATATTTTTTAGTCTGGTCTGCTGTGGATATCGTTCTATATTAATAAAACACTGATGGCCAGTGACCAGGCAGGAAGTAGGTGGCCAGGCCGGAAGTAGGTGGGACAAGGAGAGAGGAGAATTCGGGGAGGCGGAAGGCTGAGGGGAGAGACACTGCAGCCACCGCCATGACCAGCAGCATGTGAAGATGCCGGGAAGCCACCAGCCACGTGGCAAGGTATAGATTTATAGAAATGGGTTAATTTAAGATAAAAG